TGCTGAGCCATGTCTCCACCCTACCCCCAAGCTTATTCTTGTGTGGCATCCAGCTTTGTTCATACACTAGTACTTGACCTTAAGAGTCATTATTCAAAAGCACTGGCTTCCCACCATTCCTACAAAGTCAATACCTTTCTATCACCCTGGTTGGGGGGGGGCACACGCTGGAGGTGGAATAACCCTTTCATAGAAGCTGCGTAAGACCACTGGGAAAAACGGATATTACATTATGATTCATAACTATCAAATTTACAGTTATGAAGTACCAACAAAAATAGTTTTATGGTTGGGTGGATCACTACAACATGAAAAAATGTATTGAGTTACAACATTAGGAAGGTTGAAAACCATCACTAGGGTCTCCTTGCCTTTGAGGTCTTCTCTGTTGCTTCCACCTAAGAAAGTCTTTGCTTGCGTTCATTTTAACTACTGCATGGAACACAAGCTGTTGGAGTTTTCTAATTTTTTTCCACTGAAGAACAACGTTGCCTTTCCTCACAAGTCTCCTCTAGGGCTCCTCTCATACCTGGGCCACGACAGAGCCCAGCAAACATAACAAAAGAATCAATCAAAAGACTGCATATCTTTCCATTCTCAACACCAAACAGAAATGCAGAAGCCATGCAGGAAGAGAAAGAGAACCCTGGCTCATTGCATTAAGTTTCAGTTGTCCCATGAAGAACTTAAACCAGTGTAATTTGCCATTAGTTTCCCTAACCTGAACTATTTGGAACCAAAGTCTACTGGTTCCTAAAAATTATTTCATGTACTGGTTAGTTTTTTGTCTGCTGAACAAGCTCAGGTCATACTGAAAAAATGGAAACCTCAATTAAGAAAATGCCTCCATAACAGTGGCCTATGGGTCATTTTCTTAATTAATCATTGATGTGGGAGGATCCAGCCCAATGTGGGTGATCCCACCCTTAGGCAAGTGGACCTGAGTTGTACTATCAATCTTTATTTATTTATTTATTTATTTATTTATTTATTTATTTATTTAAATTAGAAACAAGTTGCTTCACATGTCAATTCCAGGTCCCTCTCCATTTCCCTCCCCTCCTCCCGTGCCCTCCCACCAACCCCCACAATATCCCCTCATTTCCCCAGGGCATTTCATCCAGGGCAGGGCCTAGACCCTCCCTCAAGAGTTCAGGGTGAGAATGCATCTCTCATTGTTGCATGGGAGTCCGAAGTCCATTTGTATACCCGGAATAAATATTGATCTACTACCCAAGGCTCAATAGATTACCTAGGCCTCCTCACTGACACCCACATTCAAGGGGTCTTGATCAGTCCCATGCTGGATTCCCAGGCATCAGCCTGGGATTCAAGAGTTAACCCTTGTTTCTGGGGGTTAAACCAGCCCAGTCTTAATCCCTCTGGTCATCCAGCCTCCCTCTCTGTTACTGGCTTTCTTGAGTTCAGCTCAGTGCTTAGCCGTGTGGGAGTCTGCCTCTGCTTCCATCAGCCACTGAATGAAGGTTCTGGTTCCCAGACTCTCTGGCCATGGGATTGTAGGCTGGCACTCCCCAGATCTATGTCTAAAATCCATATATGAGAGAGTACATGCCATGTTTCTCTTTTTGTGACTGGGTTACCTCGTTCAGGATGGTTTCTTCTAGTGCCATCCATTTGCCTGCAAATTTCAGGATTCCATTGTTTTTTTTTCTGCTGAATAGTACTCCATTGTGTAAATGTACCACATTTTCTCTATCCACTCTTCGGTTGAGGGGCATCTAGGTTGCTTCCAAGTCTCCAAAATTTACAAAGAACTCAAAAAGCAAGTCTCCAAAACACCAAAGGATCCAATTAAAAAGTGGGCTACAGAACTAAATAGAGAATTTTCAATTGAGGAGGCTAAAATGGCTAAGAGGCACTTGAGAAAGTGCTCAACATCCTTATCTGTCCAGGAAATGCAAATCAAAACAACTCTGAGATACCATCTCATTCCTGTCAGAATGGCTAAAATCAAAAACACCAAAGACAATTTATGCTGGAGATGATGTGGTAAAAGGGGAACACTCATCCATTGCTGGTGGGAGTGCCAGCTTGTACAGCCACTTTGGAAATCAGTATGGAGATTCCTCAGGAAAATGGGAATAAACCGACCACAAGACCCAGCAACTCCACTATTAGGCATATATCCAAAAGATGCTCATTCATACAACAAGGATGTCTGTTCTACTATGTTCATAGCAGCATTATTTGTAATAGCCAGAACTTGGAAGCAACCTTGAGTTGTACTTTTAAAAGGCAAAGTAGTAAGCCATGGGGAATAAGAAGCATCATTCTTCCATGGATTTGCTTCCGTTCCAAATTCCAGGTTCCTGCCTTGAGTTCTTGTCCAGGCTTCTCTCAATAATGGCTTTTGGTCCTTTATCACAGAAATAGGAAAACCAAACTAAAACAACTCTCAAAAGTATAACCCACCCTCATTCCCAATTCCTCAAAAAAAAAAAAAAAAAGAGGAAGGCCATTAGTTCAGGGCAACATATTTTCCTTTTTTAATGTAACAGATCTAGCTTTTTATATCAATGTTTCCTTGCCATGTGAAAATCCATACATTTTAAGACACCAGATATAATGGAGAAAATTCAAGACAGATCACAAAACACAGTCAAGGAACTGCAAACAAACTATGTAAGCATAGGCTAGTGAAGCCATTCCCAGGGAACTCAGGGCTGCTAAACATCTGAATATAATTAAAAACTCTGCAAAAAAGGAAACTACATAGCCATGAACAAGCCAGATTCCCTCAGAACCTCTATTTCCTTTCCATCAAATGGGACCTGTTAATGATGCCTCTCAAGAAGCCACTGTGGGAATAAGGTCATTTTACACACTGAAAAAGATGCCATGCAGCCTGTGCCTTGACCTCTTTACTAGTCCCACCACTGAAGGCTGTTCCCAGATGCTCAATGCCACATGGCCTGGCCCACCCTGTGCCTCCAAAATAAACAGTACAGGCAAAGGACCCAATTCACTTCCCAAAAGCATCTATGAATCTTTCTCAAAAGTTCACATGTGCCTTTATAGAAAAGGTGCCCTACACTTTTATGAACAAAAATCCTTCTTTAGTTTACTGTGATTTTGAGGGGGTCAAGGGAAACAGTTGACTGAATTCTTCCAAGATTCTAGAAAGACATACTGCTACAGCTCCTCTAGACCATTCTTCAAAGCAGGAGTTCCCAACACGGAACATATTTTGTCAGTGCCTGGAGATATTGGACTGTAACATCCAGGACAGAAGAAGGGCCATGGGTAGTGGCCAGGGTCACTGCCAAACATTACCACATTACCAAGGTGAGAGTGTTAACTTGTACAGCCCTGCTGCAGAACTAGAGGAGAAGGCAAGGCCCTTTGCCCAGGCCCTCTGTGAAACCCTTGACCACTACACCTAACAAGTTTAGGTCTCCAAAGTAGCAGCCAAGGCTGACAGAGGAACCTGGAGTGGATGCTGTCACTCTGGAGTAATGGTGGAGCTTGAGAAACATTGAAAAAGGGAAGATAGGAATACATCAGGTAAGGGATTCCCTGTGCTTAAAACATGGAAATGCCGGGTGTTGGTGGCATACAACTTTAATCCCAGCACTCCCGGGAGGCAGAGGGAGGTGGACCTACAAGAGCTAGTTCCAAAGCCACAGAGAAATCCTGTCTCCAAAAACAAATAAACAAACAAACAAAGAACACCATGGTAAAAGCAAATGTTCTCACTGAAGTCTTAATGTGTGCCTGGTTACCAAGCAGGCACAGGCAATGACAGCTGGGCCTGGACTTCATGCCACTGAATTTTCAGGGAGGACTAAGAACAAAACATGAGAGAGGTCAGGCAGTATTGGTGTGGGTCCTAGAACCCAGAGGCTAATAACATTGCTCCCATAACCCTGGACACAGCACTGGCAACCAAAAACTACTGAAAGGAAGGTAGGAGAGCTAAGGGGATTGTCATAAGAACAATGAACAGAAAATCACCAGTGGTTTTGAAAACAGGCAGGTTTCACTGCAAAATAAAAAAGTGTTAACACAGTGTTAACAGTGATCACCTCTTACCAGGACGCCTCACTGTTCCCACTATCTGATTGTACAACAGATTCAGAACATGGCACACTGTAAAAGCTGTCATTCTCTTAGTTCTGAGAAATACTAAGGTTAGAGAAGATCTGACACGGGAAAAGAAGATAAACACTCAGGCATTCCTTGTACTGATATTTCAAAATTAGTTTTTCAAGGCCAAAAGTCATTTTTTAAAACACATGGTCAGTTTTGTTTTGTTTTTTTGCTAAGATTTGTCAAATCATTACTATAGGAGTAAGTATATGGAAATATGGAAGCTTTCACTGTCACCAACAAACACAAGGAAGAAGAGACGCGGCCGCCTGGGGGTTGACCAGTTACCACCTGCACACTATACCTTCAGCAGCTGAGATGTAGCACTGGGGAACAGAGACACTGGCCCAGTGTTCAAAACTAACAGATTCTATTCTTGGCAAAAGCAGACACCCCATTATAATACCTTGGCTTGTTAGGTCAGAGATTCCACAGATAATTCCTGCTATAACTGGGAAGAAGGAAGATGTGAAATCATCTATCAAGTCAGACCTAACACTCATCAGTACTACATAACTCTTGTAATACAAATGTCTTTTGTTTGACTGTAACACAAATCAAGCTTCTACTGGCAGCTTTAACCCATTAACAAACAGCAAGATAAGCCAGTCTTGATGACATTCAGAATTTTGTAAAAGTAAAATAGTTCGCATACATGATTCCATCAACAAAGGGAATCTGGGAAAAGCTGCTAAATCAACCTCCCCTACCCCTCTTGTTGCGAGCTCATCAGAGAAGATGTAAAACTCATACTCTTTGGCTATATTGGTTATATTCTTATCACCAATGGCACACTCATAGTTACAACTCTTCGCTGTATGCACCATAAAATCCAGATACCAAAAGCACCCGCCAAGACTCCTGAAGCACAGAAACTAAGAATAACTTACCATATTTGGCACATTGGTGACTGATGTATTCTTGATATCTGTAGGAAAAGCAGGCAAACTATTGACCATGCTCTGTTTGCTGGATAACTGGGGATTCACTCCAGTGGCTCCCATCTGCTGCCCTCCAGCAGTTTGACTAAAGGGTTGTCCAAATGGACTTGTGTTACCAGTCATTCCCATCTGAAACAAAAAGAGGAAAAATCAGCTGTCACGACACAAGCACAACCCCCCCCCCCAAAAAAACAGACTTCGGAAATGCTTGCCTGACCCATTGATGACAAGATGTGATCTCCTGCGACCCCTTCTTCCAGTTATAAATAAAAGCTTCATTATCAAAGTTCATTGTTAGAATTGTGAAAGTTTCATTTAAAAAGTTAAAGCTATAGACAGCAACTAACAAAGTGGCTTAAATGATTCAGTTGTTTCCTAATTACAGGCCCAGAAGAGGCCAGCACTTTTCTCCCCTCATCACTGGGCAAAGCCCTGTCCAGCAGCAGCCAAGTCTCACACAGCAAAGGCCCTGACTTGATGACCCTGGGGGCTTCTTCAGCTAATCTTTAATTGTTCCCTAAGTGCTTTTTGTTTCTCTCATGTTCTTCATCAGATTTTAACCAAGTTTCAACTAGCTCAAAATGCAGAGTAAGAACACAATGAAAGGATAAAATATGTGGGTTCTTTATACATAAAAATATTCAGGCAAGGCAGGTGATGAGGGGGGGGGTGAAAACTGAAGGCAACTTCACAACAGCAGAGACTGTATCAATCATTATTACACATGCTGCATATTTGCCCCAATAGAGTTGGTTTTTATTTTTCTTTTAAACTAAGGTGAAATAAAACCAACAATCAGGTAAAGTAAGGCAAAATCAGGAAGCGAGGCCTCACACCTCTGCCTCCATAGGTCAGCCACACACAGTTAGCTCCAACCTCCTTGAGTGCATGTGGGAGCCTCCTTGAGGAGGAAAAAAGAAACAGGGTGCTCAAGTTACCCATCTCTTTTTCACAGAGCTAGAATATTCTTCCCTGCTGTCTACTGCTTGCTCTGCATGTCTGTCATCATATTCTGTTTGATGTTTGGACTAGGAAGAACAATCTTAAGCAGGGAAGACTTCCAGGGAAGATAGTTTCACTAAATGTTCTAAGCCATAGGCTTCATCTCCAGTAACACACACTGGTTAAGTCCTACCTGAGAAATCACTACCAGCCTCAGCTGGTAACTATCATGCCAGTAAGCTCCCTCTGTATAATGTATAGTTCTACCATGGACTTCAATCTTTTTGCTTCCAGGAACTAGATCACTTAATTTCTTTTAGCTTTAAAAGTTTAGATTGCAAACAAATCCTCATGCAACACAATTAACTCCAATTGATGTCAATAATGACTATATGCCAAAGGGGCAGGAAAGCAGAGCTTGATGTGTGCACCTGAGCTTCTCATCTTTCTGAAAGTGAACCTTTCTACTAGGTACTTAGTGTGAGTAATCTGAAACACAAATCCTTCACTAAACCCAGGAATGAGGCTCAGCCCTGAGTTCAGGAGATGTAAGTCAAGGCAGTAGCTAAGTGAGTACAAAGGTCATCCTGATCCTAACAAGATTCCTCCAATGTATCTGAAACTCAGAAAAACAATTTTCTGTTCTCAAAAAGCAACACACTAGGTGAATTCAAGTAGCAACTACTACTCTGAATTTGTTTTTTTTTGTTTGTTTGTTTGTTTTGTTTTGTTTTTACATAACTCAGGCCATTATAGCTTAGTGGAAAGCTGGACCATCTTGCTGGCCCTGAAACACTGGTCCTAAAGACCTAGAATTTGAAAAACAGTAACAAAAACTCACAGAAGTAAAACAAAACATTTCTGAACACATGCTTTTTTTTTTTTAACTCAACCACAATCAATCCACCCTTACTGTCCACCAATATCTGCTATGAACCAATCCCAGTTGAGAATGTATACAGAGATTTTTCCTACTTTCCAAGGGACTTGGATCCTTATATACTTGAACAAACACTGGCTGGAAGGTTCCAACTTAATGAGAATACAGGACCAAGAACCAAAGTATGTAGCATGTATGGAAAGGCCAACTGCCATCATATGCCCCTGCACTGAAGAAAGAGACCACAGGTATAGGACAATAAACTTCCCCAAGGGTTCTCTGTGACTCTCAAAGTATGTCTGACCTATTCTTTGCAAAACAAACAAAAAAATCTGTTTATGAAACTGCAACCATTCCTGACACCATTCTAAAAATTACCCTGCTAAGCCAAAAATCAGGTAGTATATATGGTCAGATAGGGTAGTGTTTGCCTGATTAGACTCTGGCATTTTCTAACTGGCTTATTTTAAGAGGTAATACTGTGCTTCGAAACATTCTTGTGGGTGTCTTTAGGAAATTTCTTGCTCCATCTCTACTCCAATTACTCCACCCCTTTCTTTAATTTTAAATTACTAAGATATAGTCTTGCTGTGTTTATTGCCTAGGCTGGCTTTGAACTTCCCATCTCAGCCTTGTGTATACTAACACACACAGTTTTTCTCAGGAAATTTTTATATATCTTCTCCTTGGCAAGCTGACCATTTCAGCATGGCTTTAATTCCCAAAGGGAAGAATCATAGACAAAGTCTAAGGTCATACACAGCATATTGCAGACATCCAGTTCAAAGGAACCCAGTACACATTTTGAAAGTTTGAAGTTAAAGGCAAAAGTCCCATCCTGAGCCTATAACAAAAAGAAATTCAGACTTCAAAGGCCCAAACTTGAGTGTCAGGCACCATACCCATTTGTGACACCAGCCCATCTCCAGTCAGAGCAGAGCTAGTAGTTGAGTTTAAGGCTAAAGAAGTAGACAGAAGTCTCCAAGAGGTCACTACAGTTCATCCCAAGTGACTTGTCTCATTTTGAAAGGAGTGACAGATTAGGACGAAATCAAAAGCCTCAGCTGCAGATTAAGGGAAAAGTCATTTACTTTTAGAGTGTCTAGATTTCTGGATTCCCACTTCTGTTATCTACTCTTTCGTTGATCAAATCAAATTATATATGGTTCCCAAGTCTAAGCTAATACACTGCTTAGCACCAGTGCTTACAATCAAGTGGTAAAATTGAGATGTCTAAATAAAATTTAGATGTCTAAATCCAATTGACAATCAAATCTACTTAGTCCTTTAAATTCCTAAAAACCTTAACTTTGAGTACAACCCAAAGCAAAAAAAGGAACTGTCAATGATGGTGAAATTTATTTGGAACAAAATATTAACGGTAGAATGTTGTTACTCTCATTTATCAGTAGCCCGTATGGTAATGTGCTTTTTACTCTATCTTTCCAAACAGTGCCCTTCAAGTACTTAATTCAAGTTCAAATTTTTTCTAGTTAAGTACAGTAGTAGTCAAAAACACACAAAACTCCCCTAAAGTGAAATCTATTCAAGTTTCTCAGTTCTATCCACTTGCCATGAAAAAGCATTGTGATCATGTATGCTACATGCATGCCACATGTTGGCCATTCAAGAATCTGCTTATCTGGTAATGGCTTTCTTTATTAGGAGAATAAAACTATGTAAACTGTAGCACCATGAATGAAAAATGCACACAACACATAAGGCAAGAAATCCAAGTGCTAGACCTGAGCCTGCACAGCCAAGTTAGGAGACCCATTGAGAGAAGGGGCTGTAGGAGAAGGAGAATACTCTTGCAAGCTTTGTTCACTGACACAAGAGCAGTTGTAACAAACAGCCAATAATCCAGCAACAGGCCACAAACTGCTTGGCCGTCTCCAAAACAATGAGAGAAAGAGTGGGCTATCTTCCTTCAACACTGACAAATACCATTATAGACAGAAGATGAAAATCAAAGAGCACTGCTCAACTCCACAGAGTTATCCACAATAATATTTATGCCAATCCATGCTGAGTCTGTCTTGGGCACAAAACCAGGAGATCCTGCTTCCCTCAAACATTTGTCTGACAGTGAGTGTACTTAGTATTTGGGGAGGGAACTAAATAAATGACCACTCCAAGATGTCACCACTTTAAGAAGCCCTCTGGAACAAGAGCACAGGTCAGCCCTGGAGAAAGCAAGTCACTGAAGTCAGGGCAAAACAGCACAGAATAATCTGGGGGGAGGGGGCACCAGGAGAAGTGGCTGTCCTCTTTTTTTTAATCCTCTAAACTTTGGAAGTAAAACTGGTTAAGTACTGAGTTCAGATCCTCAGCACCAATGTAAAAGCTGTGCACAGTGACATGCACTTATAAGATACACCCACACCAGCACATGCATTTGCTATATACACAAACAAATAATAATAAACAATATAGCCGGGCGGTAGTGGCGCACGCCTTTAATCCCAGCACTCGGGAGGTAGAGGCAGGCGGATCTCTGTGAGTTCGAAGCCAGCCTGGTCTACCGAGTGAGTTCCAGGACAGCCTCCAAAACAATACAGAGAAACCCTGTCTTGAAAAAACCAAAAATAAATAAATAAATAAACAAACAAACAATATAAAATATACTTTCAAGGTTCTGAGTTACTAGATAGTCAATTGACAGTTCACTTGATCATGCTAAAAAGTTGAAGCCACTGTAGAGGTGATTTTAACAGGATGGCAGTTTTGTGTTTGATCACAAATAAGGATGGGAGAACAGTCTGGCCATAAAGCAAATCCTTCCTGCCTTACTTTCTAAGCCAACAAACCTTGGCTTTGGTGAAAAATTCCATTATGTCCTAAGTTAGAGACACCCCCCCCCCAAAAAAAAACTCAAACAGTCCTGGGCACCAGAATACTAACATACTGATTGGAAAAAAAAAAACTTCCTCAATTTGCTTCAATGAAGAACAAATGCTGTATTTTCTACCTGTAATGATGTAACAGTTATAGAAATATTATTAAAACAAGCTCTGGACTCCAAAAGAACAAAGTTTCTCTCTCCACTGCATTAACCAAGAGAGCATCCTAATTGTTCACCTCCCTCTCCTAACTCATCCTATCAAGCAAGATCCATATCAAAAAGACAATAAACACCTCTTACCCATCAAAAAGGTAAGACACAGAAATCCAAAACTAGAGGGTTTAAGGCACGATGACACTACTATTGAAAAGGAGTGAGTCAAAGGCACAGGTGGGTCACTGCAAAGGAGGTCCCTTCCAAGGGCAAGCTTTACAGCAGTGGTATGACACAGATTACCTTCAT